TGCCGGGATGACAGGCCTGAGCCACCTCGCCCGGCCTCCTCCGGTACTTTTTGAAACCCAATCCTTCTTCTGACCTTCCCACCCTTCTCCCTTCCCGTTCCTACAGGCTTTCCTTTACAAAGCCCCTCTGCCTATCACAAGGAGGCTGCAAGAACTATGACGACTGGTCAGTTTCTTTACAACCTCTAGAAGCCAGAGCATACTCTGGGAAGGGTTTTGTTACCAGAGATGATGTGTAGCAGTTAAGGCAGAGCCTCCCGCTGCAAACTACCTGGGAATTGCTACTTGCTGTGATGCCATCTTGGCCACATGATGTCAGCTCGCCTCACTGTCCTCAGTGGTCAAATGGGAATGCTACCCACCCCCTACCTTGCAGAGTTGTAGTATCGTGTGCAACCCTTGCACATGCGTGGCATGCGGTTGTTGCTATTCCTACCATCATCAAGAGAGAGGAAACTGAAAGTAATATTGAGAACCCTGGGCCGGGCGCGGTGGCTCACGCCTGTCATCCCAGCACTCTGGGAGGCCGAGGCGGGAGGATCGCTTGAGGTCAGGAGTTCGAGACCAGCCTGGGCAACATAGCGAGACCCCGTCTCTACTAAAAACAGAAAGAAATTAGCCAAACAACTAAAAATAGAAAAAATTAGCCGGGCATGGTGGCGTGCCTGTCATCCCAGCTACCCGGGAGGCTGAGGCAGGAGGATCGCTTGAGGCCAGGAGTTGGAGGTTGCTGTGAGCTGGGGTGAAGCCACGGCACTCTAGCCCGGGTGACAGAGCGAGGCTCTGTTTCAAAAGAAAAAAAATAAATAAATAACCGTGCACCGAAACCTGACAACTCATTTAATCCTGCCAAGGATGCCCGAGAATAGACGTTGTTATCTTATTTTAAACAGGACAGGGGCCTCTAATCCCATCTCTGCAAGAGTTTAGCAGGCTGGACGAGCAGGCTGAGCCTCAACTTCCTCCCTTGCAAAGGGAAACAACATTGCGTGCCTCCTTGAGCCACCGCGAGGACTAAGCGACACCGCAGAGGCTTTCTTAACAAACGACGACTTCCTTCCCCAGCTTTCCACCTCCACGCCCAGCGCCTCCGCCCCGCCCCGCCCCCTACTGCTCACTGCGCACGCTCAGATTCAGCCCCAGGAAGTGAGCCCAAGCCCCGCCCCAGCTCAGCGTTCCCAGCCTCCCGAGTCGACCCGGAAGTAGAATCCCCAACAGGTCAAAGACGTCCCCGACGCCCTGCTCCGGCAACCGCCGCCAGGGGGCGCATGAGGTCGCCATGTTGGCTCGCACATACACACAAACACACCCCCCCCCGCCTCGTCACGTGAGCCGACGGCTCCGGAAATGCAGCAGTGGCCGCTCCCATACAAGGGCCTGCTCCCCTTGCGGTCGTAGGAAACGCGGAGAGGCTGTTTGCGGAAAAGGCGCAGCGATTGCCAGCGTTTCTGGCAAAACATGGCTGCCGCGGAGCTCCCCGGCGTTTCCGGACGGAGGTAGGAGGCCCCCAAGTACAAGATGGCGGCGCGGACGCGCAGAGGCTGATGGGAGCGTGCGTGCTCCAGGCACGTCGGCCTCTCGGGGGCCCCGCCCTCGCTTGCGTGCGGGACGGAGGAGCCGCCTCGGGGGAGGGGCTGAGTGCGGGGTCCCCGTCACCTCCTTGCAGCGCGTTAAGGCGACGTTACCGCCTGACGATTGTGACAGCTGGGCGGTGCGGGGGTTCCTGCAACCTCGGACGGGCTCCCGTCCTCAGACTTCCTTTTCCATCTTCCGCCACCAATCTGGGGACGGGTGGAAGGAACTCGAGCCCGTCGTTAAAAAGAGCAAAGCAGCACTTTGTAATCCTGATGCGGAACCGACTCCTGGATATATTAAGGGAAAGAAAGCAGAGCGCGGGAAATTGTGTATACAGATATCTGCCTTTGTGTTTTTATTTTTTTTT